TAAAGACATAAATGGAGTCTATATGGTATATGTTGGGCTGCTAAACCAAAGGTTGGCAGTTCAAGTCTACCCAGAGACAATTTTGGAAGACAAGCTTAATGATCAGCTTCTGAACGAATCTGCCACTGGAAACCCCTTGGGGCACAACTGCACTGTGATGCACCTGAAGTTGCCCCAAGGTGTGTTAACTCCATGACAAGTAGTGGGTTTTGGGCATAGACATATATGCTGAGTCTACACAATATAGAGATTTATATAAGAATCATGTATCATAATATAAACTCATATGGAAGACCAACACAGCAAAAGTATGTCTATATGAAATGGTGCTTGTCAGTTACTAACTGAAACGTGTTGTTAAATACCACGGACAACTAGGAGAACAAACAGCTTTGTCCTAGAGAGGGTGAAACCAGGTTGCTCCTTGGAGGTGAAAAATTTTGAAGCTCTGTCTGACAGACTTTGGGCATGTTGCAAGGAGGGACCAGTCCTTGGAGAAGGGACATCATGCTTGAAAAGCTGGAGGGCAGTGCAAGAAAGGATGAGATGGATTGAGCCGGTGACGGGGGTAATGGAGGTAGATGTGTCAGAGACAATGAGGTTGGCTCAAGATAGAGCAGGGTTCAGGGCTCTTGTACATAGAGTCGCTGTGAGTCACAGGAGACTCAAGAACAGCACATAACAACAACAACTGAAAAGTTGGTGGTTCCAATTTTCCATGTCCTCCAAGGGAGAAGCAGCATAGGCAGTCTTCTTCTGTTAAGATTTACAGTCTTGGAATTACAGTGGAGGGTCCCTATTAGCTGGAATGAATTAGACGGCTGTGGTTTTGTGGGGTCAGGTGCTTATCTTCGCACTCCCATTTTTGGGAGCCATGATGATTCGCTCAGGAACTCAGTGGCTGTTGCTAGGTGATGTCCAGTTGCCTTCTAGAAGGAAACCCCCTCTGACCCTGGGCCATGCCCGTGATTTTTTGCTGTGTGTAAGCTCAGTTTTTCATGCACTTCTTGTTAAGGGCCTTCCTCCCTTTCACTGACCGTCTGCTTTTCCACACATGATGGAAACTGAACAGTCTCTCTACAGTCGTCTGCTTCATGTAAGTGGCATTGCCAATATTTGTCTCTTTGGGCCTGACATATTTTATTCCGTCAACATCGAACATTTCCAAGTTTCATCCACCTAGTTGCACGTGTCAGAAAGTCATTTCTCTTTGTGACTGAGGAACATCCACTCCTTTGCAAATGATCCAGTTTTTACTGAATCTTTTTTAAATGTTTACATATTTTATTATTTTTTATTCCCCCCCCGATTGTTGCGTATTTCCTTCCTACGCTCTCCTTCCCCCTCCCTCAGCCCTCTGTGCAATGCACCCCTTGTTCCAGATTGTTGTTATTTTACTGAAGCTTTTGAGAACTCCTTGAACCCATCCTTTTTGTCAGTGAAATAGATATAAGAAACTGTTTGCCATTCCAACCCTTTTTATGCATCCAGTTTGGGGACGTTAATTATACACTCGACCATTCTAGATATTTTGTGGAAGTGGAATCATATAATGTCTGCCCTTTTATGCCTGACCAATTTCAATTAGCATTATGTTTCCAAGAGCCACCCCCCCACCATTATTATGGCTGGAGGACCCTTCTGATTTAGGAAGGAGTAAGAGACTTATGGTTACTTGGGTTGTATTTTATTGTGACAAATTTGAATGGAGAAAGCAGGCGATACTGGCTTTTCAATCTCAAAACAGAACTGGATTCGAGTACATGTTAGTCATAAGATTGTTTCCCAAAAGAACTTGAAAGAATTTTCTGTTCACTATGAGAATTCCACTTCTGTGGAATCAATTCTATCAGGCTATCAGGTATTGTGTCTTTATGGGAAGAAATTGCCCATCTCTCTCCCCAGGGGCAGCTAGGGGATTTGAACCACTCATCTTTTGGTTAGCAAGGAAACACCTAACACTATGCCTTCAGGGATCCTTCTGAGAAGTCTACTACAACCTCGATATTCAGGAAAAAGTACAGTAAAGTCAAATGAATTGACAAGTGGGGTAGATACACACACACATTCCCACACTCCTATTTTAAGAAAGTTAATTATGCATATATTTTTATTGTGAATACATACACATGTGCATGCATATAATACTTTTATAAGGAAATCTTATTGCTAATTGCTTCCAGAAAACAGAATACTTTATCAGATTGGCTCCCTCACAGAAAGACAAGTTTATAGGGTGTACGCATTTAACCTCCCCCAAGTTTAGAACTGTAACTGCTGGTGGGATAGGCGATGATTGTGGCAGTTCTGGTGGTGTGGGCTGTAGCGAGTTGCACTGCTTACCCTTGGGCCTCATGTCTCCAGCAGTTCAAATCCACCAGCGGCTCCGTGGGAGAAAGATGGGCAATTTCTTCCCGTTAGGATCCACACACAGCCTGGGAAATCTATGGTGGGTCGCTGTGAGTCAGCCTCGCCTTGATGGCAGTGGGTTCGTGAGTTTTGAGTTTATGGTTTAATCACACACAGAAAGTTATTTCCCTTTGTATTATCCTTTTTGTTATTCTGGTAGGAGAGTTGTGGTTGTTGTGTGCTGTCGAAACAGAACCGACTCATAGCTGACCCTCCAGTGGGGTTTCAGAGGCAGTAAGTCACATAGGAGGAGATTGCTCCTTTTTCTTCCAAGCAGTATCTGGTGGATTTGAACCACATGCCTTTGGGATTGCAGCCCAGCGTCTTACCTCGAGGCCATCGGCACTCTCCATCAGGAGAAAGGCTAAGTTCTAAAAGCAGTTGTCATCAAGTCAGTTCCAGTATGGGAACCTCGTGTGTGTTGGTGTAGAGCTGTGTTCTGAGGGCTCACCTTTTGGCACTAGGTCCACAAGCCTGTCTTCCAGGGTGCCTCTGGGTGGACTGGACCTTTCAAGACATTTCTCATTTCCTTTTGCCACAGAAATAGACTTGGGGCGTAGAGATGTCTCCAGGTAACGGTAGAGAAAATGCAGTCAATTTGAAATGTCAACAACGTCCAGGTTTGAAAACTTGGGATTGCTTTCTTTCTCCTGAATAGCAAGCAGTTTTAGTTTGCCACGTGGAGAATCCACTTGGCGCCAGTGTGTGTGTGTGTGTATGTAGTTGTTAGGTGCCGTCGAGTGAATGTTTCTTTTATAGACATCCCATGTTGAGAGGAAAACTGACCCATAGGGTTTTTTCTAGGTGATAATCTTTATGGGTACAGATTACAAAGTCTTTCATGAAGCAGTGGGTGAGTTTGAACTATCAGCCTTTCCCTCAGGAGCCAAACTCTTAACTGCTGCACCTCTGCAGACACAATCAAGTCTGGAACAGCGAGCTAGGAAGCGGCTTTTTATTTTATTTTATTTATTTTGATGGAAGTTTACAGAGAACTTGGACTTCCATTCATTCATTGTGGCATACTTTTCTCCCTGCCCACCCCAACCCCCAGTTTGCTTTTCTCTTTGAAAGGTAAAAAAATAAAAAAAAATAAAAATTCTTTCATTTTATACAATCGCACTGCCCCCATCCACTCCACTATGCAGCTTTCATTCTGAACTCCTGTCATGACAGTAATACCTAATCATATATTCCTCAACAGTTCTCTCCCTCATCTGTTTCAATGCAGTATACATTATTTATCTCCTCTTAGATTCCCCCCCAACCCCAATGTCAGTCCTGCTTTACAACAGTGGCACTATGCAGTATTTGTCCTTTCTGACTGAGATATTTCGCTCAGCATATGATCTGCAGGAAGGCCCTTTTGAAGTTAAAATAATGCCGTCCTTAAATTAGTACTATAATTTTTTTCCCTCTGTGATGCCTTGCTTTTAAATATGGGTTTAGGAATAATATAGCTATACATAGATGCATATATGTAATATATATGTCAAATAGTCACGGCCATTGAGTTGAAACTGACTCCTAGCTGACAATCCAATGGGTTTCTGAGGAGCTGGTGGTGGATTTGAACTCATGGTTGCTATGATGCTAAACACTATGACACTGATATGTCAAATGAAATAATGGTTACCCATGGTGGACAGTGTTTGGTGAAGCTCCCCAATTAAAACAAGCTTGGAAGCAGAAGTGGCATCCACTTTCAAAATGACTTGCCTCCAGAAACCCTATGAACTTGGAGAAACGATGAAAGTTATACAAGTGTTTAGGTCTTTTGTTCATAGAGTCGCTGTGAGTCGTCTACGTACAACTTGATGACACTTAACAACTAGAACAACAACAATAAAACCCACCGTCATTGAGTCATATCCCATAACAGCAGCCCTCCATCAGATTTCAAGGGTATAAATCTTTGTAGAAGGAAACTGTCCTTCTGAGGAGCAGCTGGTGGTTTTGAACCACTAACCAAAGATTACATCCTTAGCGACCTTACAAGGCAGTTCCACTCTGTTCCACGCAGTTGCTCTGAGTCAGAATCGGGACTGTCCACCTGAGCTGACCAGCAATCCTGCGGGTCTGAACCACGAGGCCCCGGGGGAGGTGTTAGAAACAGTCACTGCTGCTTGTTTTTGCCAGAAACACATGGCTGGACTGACCACTTTCACATGGCAATTGCCACACTCTCGACCTGGGGCCACCTCGCCACCATGCACAACTTTCCAGAGGAGAAGGGGGCCCAAGTGTTGAGGCTTTGGCTATCCTTGAAACAGAGAATTCCAGGATTAGGGGAGAAGAAAGGGAGGGGGAAACCACCCCAACTAAAACAGCTGGAATGAGGTCAAGTGCATGCATCCAATTAATGGGCAAAGCAAATCCAGGTTTTCCCCCCTTTTACAAGCGGACTGATGAAGGGCATTTTTCAAAGCCTCCACTCCCCTCACGTGGTGGGTCCCCTTGACGTGACTGGCTTAATTTGCTTCTCAAGTTGCCCGAGGCTGGGTTTCTGTGACATTTAGGAGCACTGTGACCCACATCCCGTGTTGCCTTGTAGCAATCAATTGTGAAAGCAGTGTTCTCTCTTCCTTCAGATCACTCAGTTAAAGATCGAGAATAATCCCTTCGCCAAAGGTTTCCGGGGGAGTGATGACATGGAGCTGCACAGGATGTCACGGATGCAGAGGTAGGAGATTGGGGTCCCCTGGCCCCCTTGATATCACTTCTTCAGGTTAGCTGGCAAGCACTTTAGGGCAGGACTGCCCTGAGTTTCAAGCTCAGTCTGACTTCCTCTTGGCTGTGTGATGTGGGTAAGTTGATTCACCTCTCTGAGCCTCAATTTCTTCCCTTTTAAATGGCATCGTTCCAATGCAGCAGGGGCCTCTTACCTGGATTAAGTGAGAGAACCCATAGACAGCGCCTCATGCCTGGAGCATGCTTGTTTTAGGTGGCATTGAGTCGATTTCTGACTCATGATGACTCCTTGGGGCAGAGGCTAACTGTCCCTCAGGTAATCTTTACAGAAACAGATCCTCAATTATCCACACCCCCCCAACAGAGCAATTGGGTGACTTTGAACTGCCAGCCTTTTAGTTAGCAGTCAGAGTTTCACCACCAAGTCAACTGGTTCACCACCAAGGGTCCTTCTCATCCCCCTACCTCTGTCCAAAGAGGCCAGGTGGAGAGGTAGCAATTGACTACCTTTTGCCAGAGCTTCCTGTCTGTAGAGTGCCAGGCACCAGAGTCTGGGGTTCTGCCGCTCAAGAGGGCCTTATGCTCCAATGCCACTTTCTGATCGTCTTCAGCGGAGCTTTGTCCTAAGCAGAAAGCCAGAGAGCATGTCTTTAAGAAAAGAGAATGAACAAGGAGTCTGGCCATTCCCACCTGTCCAAGGAACAAAAGCTCCCCTTCTCCTTCTCTGTTTGGCTTCCTGTCTTCTTTGCCCCCTTCTTGGCCTCTCTCCCCTCCTTTGCCTCCAGAAAGCCTCCTGTTAGTTCCTCTGGCTTCCCCGGCCCCTCCCCTTCTCTCTTCCCATCCGTCACAACCGATGAATGGTTTTCTATTTGGCAACCACTCTTGGTAAATGAAAGCGAAGTTGATGACTTGATTTCCTGGGGGTGAAATACAGACAGACTTGACACCATGTGTCGTCGGGGGCACGGGGAGGTTGGAAGTGGGTGCTAAAAACCGCTCGGTATTTTTACATATCCTGTGGTCAGAGTCGCTGAGATGATGGATCGGACGGGACTAACAATATCAAGTGCACGTAGTGGGAGTTGCGTCTGATTGGAAAGGGTTGAACGAGCATTGCCAATTTTGTCTCTGCCTCTTGATAGGCTTCCAGAACGACTTAGCAGATGGCAGGAGAATTCGAAATACATCTTGATTCCTCCCCTCCTCTTTTGATGAGTTTAAACCAGAAAAACAAAACCCACGTCGTTTCCACTGAGTCGATCCCAGCTCATAGTGATCTTCTAAGGCAGAGTCGAGCTTCTGCGGGATGTTCAAAGGTGCCATTCTTTACAGAAGCTAACTGTCACATTGTTCTTTAGAGGAATGGCTGGTGGGTTTGAACTTCAGATCTTTCTGTTAGCAGCTGAACATTTAACCACTGTGCTACTAGGGCTCCATGTGGTGGGTGCAGTTGTTGCCAGGGAGCTCTGGTGGCTTGTTGTTGTTGTTATGTGTCATTGAGTTGCCTGCGACTCATAGCAACCCTATGTACAACAGCCCTAAACCCTGCTCTAGCCCTTGCCAATCTTAACTGTCTCCTACACACCTACCCCCATTACCCCAGTCACTGAATCAGTCCATCTCTTCGAGGGTCTTCCTCTCCTGCGCTGTTCCTCCACTCTCCCAAGCATGACGTCCCTCTCCAAGGACCGACCCCTCCTTGCAACTTGTCCAAAGTATGTCAGACGAATCCTTGCCTCTAAGGAGAAGCCTGGCTTCACCCTCTCCAGGGCAAATTTGTTTGTTCTCCTAACAGTCCATGGTATATTCAATACTCTTCTCTAGCACCACAGCTCAAAGGCATCGATTCTCCTTCTCTCCTCCCTAGTCATTACCCAGCTCTCTGATGCACAGCAATTGATTGCAGAGACCATGACCTGTATCAGGCACACCTTAGTCTCCACACTGACGTCGTTGCTCTTCAGTACTTTGGAGAGGTTTCTGACAGCAGACTTTCCCCAGTGCAATTCGTCTTTTAATTTCCTGGATGCTGGTACTAAGAGTGTCTGGTGGCTTAGTCATAAGGAATTGCGATACCAGGTCAAAGATACTCTGTTCAAATCCACCAGCTGCTCTGCAGGAGGAAGATGGGGTGTCTCCTCTTCTGCAGTTTATTGCCTCTGAAAATCCACTGGAGGGTCAGCAACTCGACTGTACACAACGACTGTCTTCAAGCACTGCGGAGTCAGTTCCGACACCATGGTACAATAATACCACCACAGTATCTTCCTGGTCCCACCCCACCCCACCCTCCGGCTCTGCCGTGCTGACCTGCGCTGCATAAATTTAGTGTTTCAATCAAAAGCTAAGTCATTTAGGATGTTTCCCATTATCCTTTCTGGAAGACATGAAAAGGAGGATCAGGCAGCTGGACATACTCATGCTAAGAACGACAAGTGATGGGGGAAAGGAAGCGAGGAAGGCAGCCACGTGGGGTTTGAATGCAAATGGGCTCAGGAACACATGTGGTGGAAGCTGTTGGCAAAACACCGGTTTTCCAGACCCGAGTTTGCACGCTGGCAAAGAACGAAGAATTAAAAAAACAAACCGCAAAACAACCAACCAACCAAGAATCATGAAGTTGGCTGCAGCTGTGTGCGCATGCGCACAAGCACCACCATACCTGTGCTGGGTAACTAAGGGTTTGTAATTGCGTCCCTTCGCCATCCTGGCTGCCCGACTTACCTCTGGGTGCTGTCCAGAGATGCCACGAGTGGGTGGCTTTGAAGAGCAGAGGCTATTTCCTCATGGTCCAGAAGGCCAAAAGCCCCAGTTCAGAGTGTGGCTCCGGCTGGGCGTCCTCCAGGTTCAGCGTCTAGTTGATGTGCTGTTGTTGGGAGATGCCGTGAATCAATTCTGATTTACAGGGCGACCCTGTCTGTGGACACCTGAACAAGACCCTGCTCAGTGTTGCAAACGCTCAAAATAACTGCTGTGCTTAAGCCCAGCGGGGCAGCCACTGTTGTCATTCGTTGTTGAGAGTCTTCCTCTTGTCCACTGGCTACTTCACCAAGCGTGATGTGGTTTCTTCCTCCAGGGGCTGATCTATCCTGATGACATGGTCACAGTGGGGGGAGATGGCCAAAACTCTTGCTGCCTGTACTCCCAGCGCCCCCAGAGAGCACTCTGCCTGTCCCTTTGGGATTGCAGTGCAGCTTCTGACCACTAGGCTACCAGTGTTCCCTTCTGCCTGGGCTTGTACCAAGGCAGGTCTAGTTGACCTTTTGACAGTTCAATATTCTTCACATTTCAAAGGCATCTATTCTTCCTCACTCAGTGTCCAGCTTTCACATACATGTGTTGTTTGCTGCTGTGAATTCATAGCAACCTTGTGAATAACAGATCAAAACCTTGTGCTATTTCTCATCATCTCGTATGACCATGTTCTGGCCTATTATTGCAGGTATGCTGTCAGTCCATCTCATGGAAGGTCTTTCATCCTCTGATCTTCCGGTTCTCCTAGCATCACTTCTTTTCCCAGAAATTCTAAGGAATAACCTCTCTCGACAACATGCCCAAAGTATTTGAGATACACTTTTACTATCTTTATCTCTCAGAAGCACCCTGTTTGCATTTCCTCCAAGACAGATATGTCTGTGTTAGTCCATGATATATTCAACACTCTCTCCCAACACCCCAATTCAAATAAATCACCTCTTCTTTGGGCTTCCTTAGTCATTGTGCAACTCTCATAGGAATATGAAGCAATTTAAATACATCATGGCTGAGTCAGTTACACCTTGGTCTTTTAAACCAACATCATTACTCTTTTGCATAAATAGAATGTCAAGGAAAGCGGTCCTTGACATCTGATTTCCCCCCTGCAACTCTTCCTTTGATTTCTTGGTTGCTGGTACCAGGAGTGTCGATTGTGGATTCAAATGAACTCATCGACAACTTCAATCTTTTCTCCATCGATTCTGATGTTGCCTACAGGTCCAGTTGTTAGGGTTTTTATTGCTGTTGAGATGTAATCCATATTTGAAGGCTGTAGTCTTTGATCTTCTTCAATAAGAGTTTTAAGCAAAACCTTGCTTGCAGAAAGTTAAGAAGACGTAAAGCATTTCCCAAAGAAGATCAAAGACTACAGTCTGCAATATGGATTACATCTCAACATCAATAAAACAAAAAAAAAAGTCCACACATGCATATGAGATGATTGAAAACGCCATGGTTTAAGTCAGGCACACCTTAGTCTTCTAAGTGATGTTTTTGCTCTTGAGCACATTAAAGATGCCCCTTGTACCATACCCTTTGATTTTTAGACTATTGTTTTCAAAGGCTTTATTATGGATTCATGTAAAATGAAAATCCTTGACAATTTAAATCCTTTTGCCACATATCATGATATTGTTTTTCTAGGACTGACTAGCTGCCAGCAATCCTTGATGTTCCTAAACTTGTAGATTTAGTTGTTCCCTGCCCTCGGAAGGGAATTCTGGTGGCCTCATGGTAAGGAGTTTTGCTGCTGTCTCCAAAGCATGTGGTTTGAATCCACCAGTTGCTCTCTGGGAGAAGGATACACAGTCGCTTCCCGTGACTTTTCTCCTGAAAACCTACTGTAGGGTCAGTTGCAAAATATAAGAGCAACAGTGTGTCCTCAGATCGGATCTGTCTACCCTGTCTTGATGTGCATCTCTCTGTCTTTGCTGTTCCTTTTATATTACAGAAATGATTGGCTTTAGGATCCACCCTAAACTTTTATGATCTCGACTGACTAATCACATTACATTATGGAAAGCGATTATATAGCTCATTGGATTAGGATATACTCACAGGTATAAGGGGTATAGGAAAATCTGCTGTCAAGGATCTCTCCAGAATTACTAAAGAGCAACAGTGTCACTCTAGAGACTAAGGTGTGCCCGATTCAGGCCATGGCCGCCTCACTTGCTTGTTATGCTTCTGAGAGCTAGACAGTGAATAAAGATGACAGAAGAATTGATGCCTTTG